AAACCCTGTTCTACTTGTTAAGGCCCGTTTATTCGCCATAGTACAAAAATTCTGCGGGGTGTACATGCAATATGTAAGTCGGAAATTGTCGTTTTCTCCGACCCCTATGTGCTTAAACAAATAGTAAACCACTAGGGTAAAGCCTACAACCTGCAATATGTGTATGTGATATGTGTATGGGTGGATGGATGGATGGATGGACTGACTGAAACATATATTACGTATATGCACATGCGAACGCTATGCAGCAACGTATGAACCCAGTCTTATATATGCATCTTTCTTAACACTGAGGGTAACTTATTCAGAAGTGCTCATACAAGAAGGATCCTCAGGTCGGCATTGTGCGGGAAACTCCTAGATGTTGCAGCCTCAACCGTCAAGTTGGAAGTAAGACATATTGGCCAAGCACCCATCCGGAACGCCTGACAAGTACTTCTAACCGGATTCGGGAGGGTCCATATTATCCCTACACACCTGAACCCTCTGGAATACTATTCCTATGCGGTCCTTTCGCAGTCGCGGGCAGCGTCGCATGGCATGCATGGCACAAAACTCATGGCGTCATGTAGTCATGAACTTGACGAACTGTCGGGGGGGAAGCCTGAAGGGCTCAAGTTTGTGGTCACGGCTTGGGTTTTAGGGCCCTAGAGGCATGTGGCTTGCGATGCTTGCTTGGGCTGCGATGCTAGTTTTGGAGGCTTTCGTTCGAGTTCGTGAACATGTGGCAAAGACACGAGGGCCGTCCAGCAGCGCACTGCAGCCCTCAGCCTCCGGCTTACAACGGTGGTGAATTGGCAGTCCCGCAAGAAAGGCCGCCACAGCCTCACATGACATCCTAGGCAGCTCGGAGCTGCATATCCATGGATCGGCAGTGCCAGGCTGCAGTCTAAGGTGAGTGTACACGTCCCACAACGGAGGTGAAAACGTCATGAAAGGCATGGAATGCCCACTGTACAAAGCCACAACCTAGTTAAGCCCTGCCCCGTTTTTGGGCCGGTGTTACATAAATTCGCTTCTGACCACGCCGGCCAGGTGGGATGGTGGATGGCTTTGTGCTCTGCGACTGACGGGAGCTCACCTCACGACCTGGGCTTTGCAGCAGCTTGTACACGGTTTGCACCACCTTTGCACGTGCTTCGAATACCAATTGCTGCTTAAGATGTTCCTCTGCTGATTACCCGTTAGCAGGTAGGTGGTTGCCATGTCAGTATCGCATGCAAATGTTTGAGGTACTGGGCATGGTGATTGCATGCAAAGTTTCTATATGTCTCTTAGGCCTGTGCTCGCACAACTCGAAGTCGCAAAGGCTGACGTTACAGTGGACAGTTGGGCGTCACCTGTCCTTAACGAACTCCAACCCGTGATTGAAACAGACACATAATCCACATAATCTTGTCGAGAATCTGTTGGGGCTTAGGCAACCCCATACGGCTCTACGGCGAAAGTCAGAACAGTTTCGCAACAGGTGGAACTTTTGCAGTACAGGCATGGCATATACAGACCGCGACTAGAGCATACCTCCTCCTGACAACAACCACGGGGAACACTACAACCACAAAGAAAGTTACTGCCATGTACCTATGGCACGTGTTCTCGCACATTGCGCTGAAAAGACTGAGGTATGCAGACAACGGCAAGAACAAAGGGTTCCCCCTGCCATGCTGCCAGCGCTTGTGCGGGCTTCTGCTGCCTCATCAACTTGTACACACTAAGCTCAAGAGCTTCGGCATGAAGCGGAGGTTTATAGTCTCCGTTGTTGTTGTTGTTGCTGTTGTTGTTGTTGTAGCAAAAGAAGAAGTAGTAGAAGTAGCAACAGTAGTAATAGTAGTAGTAGTAGTAGTAGCAGTAGTGGTGGTAGTATACGTAGTATACGTAGTAGTAGTAGTAGTAGTAGTAGTAGTAGTAGTGGTAGCAGCAGCAGCAGCAGGAGGAGGAGGAGGAGGAGGAGTAGTAGTAGTAGTAGTAGTAACTTAGTAGTAACTTAGTAGTAGCAGGAAAGCATCAATCCCAGCAGTAGCAAGTCGCCACAGCTAAAGTATGTTGCTGATGCCGCCTGTGCTTCTTGGTGTGGGTTCTGTTGTAGCTAGTACTACTGACGTGCTTTGCATGGAGCTCTCTGTTCAAGCGAGGCGTTGGTATGGAGGGGCTACTGACAGAGTGAGGAAGGATGTTTCGGCACATCGTATCATACAATGTTTGGACACGCAGACAAAGAAACATTTCACCTTCAGCACCGATGCCCGAGGTTGAACTTCTAGATCTGGACGAGATCTTCAGTCCGACACAGCGTTGCATCTTAATACTTAATAACAGCGAAGCTAAAAAGAAGAGCCAAGCATCAAGCAAGCCACGCCACCATCCACTCTAAACCGAATCACTATACATGTACCTCGTCGATCCTAACAGGCTAACTGACGTTAACCCTACATCCCGAAACCCTACACCCGAAGCAAACTTGAATTGAAGGTGGCCTGCAAATTCAAGCCGACTGCGCTCGCTGCAGTTTGTGCGGCTGCATGGCCGCCCAGCACCTTCGACAAGTGTCGCACCTGAGTCTGATCGTCTCGTAATATGCTGACGTGCAGGCATCCAAGCACCCCTAGCAGACAAATTTGCGAAAAGTGTGCCTGTGAAGGCATGTTAGCTGGAAGACACAGTGGAGTGCAGGCTAGCGCGTCTGGCTCAAGATATAGCTTTACCGAGTTGCCGTCATCGTGTCAGGATGCAGGCGGCGTTCAGAAATCATCTCCAGAATCAGGGCTGCACGGTCTTCATCTGGGGGTACGGCAAAGGCACAAGCCTTCAGAGCCAGATTCAGCTCCATTATGCCACCGTTTATGCCAGCCAGCTCCATGTCTAAAAGCCGAGCCAAGCATTGACTTGCATCTCCTTTTCGTGCATAACTATCCATGACACTAGCGTAGCATACCTTGTTCGGCCGCATGCCGGCAGCTACAGCACGCTGTAGCCAAACCTCTGCAACCTCTGGGTTGCCGGCCTTCGAGGCGCCAGATATTAAAGTGCTGTATGTGATAAGGTCCGGTTTAACACCCTCTTCGAGCATGCGATCGAGCCATGTCTCGGATAGCGTGCCATCTTGCATCTTTCCGGCATAGGCCAGAAAGGGGGTAAAAGTCTGAGCAGTGGGCCGGAAGCCAAAGTCTTTACTTCGCTGCAGCCAATCCTCAGCTTTCTTCAAGTCTTCTGCTCGCAAGGCCGCATTGATCAGGGTGTTGAAGGTGACGGCTGTGGGAGAAAGTCCTTCCTCGAGGATAGTCTGGTAGACATCCTCTGCTTCTTTAAGCCTTCCAGCCTGCGCTGCTGCTGCAAGGACACTGTTCATCATTACGATGTCTACGGATATGCCACCAGCCAGGGCTTCGTCGAGCAACCTTGTGGCCTCCCGTAGATTCTCCATCCCCTGCTGTGGAGATGGCCTATGCCCCTTTTTGGAAGCGGCGCTGATTAAGGCAGTATAGGTCATCTTGTCAAGCACTGCACCACGTTGCCTAGCAACTTGCAGCCACCGTTGGACTGCTCCCCAGTCTCCGCGCCTGGCCATATTTGCAAGAACCTGAGAAGGAACAAGCAACAAAGGAATTCCTATCAGCCTGCACGTCGCTGCAGTTCTCTACACCCGCAGCAGGGTTATGCCGCTATGCAGTTGTGATCCCAGGCACCTTGTTGAAAAAAGCCATGTCTGGTATGATCCCGGAAGTTGTGGCCCGCCGAAACCATCTCTCAGCTGATGCATGATCCCCTGTGCTCTCCGCACAGTTGATGACAGAGCTATACCTCAGGCTTCTTCTGTGCAGACAGCCAAGATCACCCACCTATTCGTCCTAAGAACACATGCAGGATATTAAAAAACATGCTCTCAGCTGGGTCCATTTGCAGGCTTGGGAGTTGCGTGTGCCCAGCCGCTAGTGCCTCCTCCATGCGATGCTCTGCTGCGGCCAGGTTTCCAACATGGGAAGCTGCTGCTACTATCCCCAGGTAGCTATAAGCATCGGGTTCCAGAGTGGAGGTCTCGAAGTGGCGGAAAAATCCTTCAGCAGCGGTTAGATTGTTACACCTCGCTGCTTCGTGGACGGCTGCGTTGATAACCCGATTGTCCAGTCCATCACTATCTACAGCACGCTGGAACCAGCGTTCCGCGGCGGCCATGCTGTTGGCATTGAAAGCTGCCATAATCAATCCAGTGAAGCCGTAGCTGTCCAGTGCCACACCATCTAGCTCTGCTAGTGCGGCAACATGCTCCGCAGAGTCTAGCTGTCCGCACCGGCTAGCTGCATGTATCGCAGAGTTGTACTGCTCATGCTGAGTTAATCCAGCTTTCCGCGCTTCTTGCAACCACTTCTCCGCTAAAGTAAAATTTTGCGATTGGGCAGCAGCGGTTACCAGTGCCGTATACATGCCTTCCCAATCTTTCAGCCCGGCCGCCCTGGCTTCATTCATCTGCTGCTCGGCTGCGACGGTGTTGCCACTGCGCGCTGCAGCAAAGAGCATGATCATCACAACATCTCTATCAAGATTCACTGGTACCCCTGCTTGTATGGCCTGATCATACCAGTATCTCGCTCGCGTCCAGTTTCCCTGGCGTGCAGCTGCATCGAGCACGTAGTTGTACTCCGCCAGACCTGGCGAAGCCAGCTCGATGAAGAGCTTCTCGGCCGTTGCCATCTCCAAGCTCTTGCCCGCAGCATTGACTAAGAGCGACGGATCCAAGTCAAAACCCCAGTCTTTGGCCTTTTGAAACCAGGCCTGTCAACAGGAATCGCATCTAACTGTAGTGGCTCCACCAAGCGTGCGACGAGCTCATGGCTCTGTGACACTTGTAGACCCTAGACCCTACATGCTGCCATTCCAAACACGAAGCCCATCGAGCCTGCGCAAAGGAGAAGTTGCCTGCCCGTGCTCCTGTCTCAACCATGCCTCAGCAGTTCGATCAAAGCCTGAACCGCTCAGGTCAGCCTGTATTAAGGACTTTGGACGTTGATGTGCTCACACAATGCGACCCAAAGCAAAGCTCTGTCAAGTAAGAAAGTATGATTGCATGCATGTACGGATTTGAGCATGTTGGCTCTGAAGTCGTATTTGCACAAGCATATGTACATATATGTATATATATATATGTGTGTGTGTATGCGTATGTAACCGTATGTGTATGTAAACGTACATGTGCTTGTACATGTGTGTGTGTGTGTATGGATGAGCGTACGTAAGCAAGGGGGTATGTAGTTACGGCAAGTATTTATGCGTGTATGTGCGCATGAACTTATATTGTATGCAGGTGTATACATATATGTGAGTGTACATATGTACATGTATGTGCGTTACAGTGTAAATGTACGTGTCTGTACGTATGCATTCAGGGAGGCATGCACATGCAAACGTATGTCTGTGTTATAGCTATCTGTTTACATACAAATGTAAGTTGCAACATATTTGCATATACATATATATATATACATACACAAATATGTATATATATATGTATATATATATGTATATATGTATGTATATATATATGTATATATGTATGTATATATATATATATGTATATATATATCATGTGTATCCATATGTATATACGCATTTTCATATATGCAAATGCGTATGTACATACACACATATATCGATACAGAGAGAGAGAGAGAGAGAAGGAGAGAGCTAGATGGATAGACAACCGTTAACATAAACTCACTGACGACTTATGATGACCTGTCACTACTCAGATATTGTAAGGGTATCCAAACTCGGAACGCCAATCACTTGATACTTTGAGTGAAGCAACAGGGTCCTCGAGTTGAAGCATATTGGAACATGCGATTTGTGAACAGGGTTGC